TTCAAATTTTGGTCGCATTTCAGGCTCGACAGTTGTACTCACGTCCACCAAGAGTAGCAGGAGAGAATTAGTCTCCTCTCCTGCACCAAAGCATTGTTTAAAAAATTAATGACTGTGGAATAGTAAAAGCAACAATGAAGTAAAAGAGAATGGAGGAGAATGTGCTTGACCCGAGCTCACTGGCCGCGTTATCTCATTGATGTTTAGATGCTGGCTGAGCCCTTATGGTATCAGAACCGACAGGCCCACAAGGAGGGAGTTTTAATGCGGTGCTGTATTTTGATGCCGGGAGCCATGCCTGGTACACGAGGTTCTTGGTAAACAATGGTGACAGTGTCAACCACTATGGGCTAAGTACACATCCAGCTACTAAGCCAAATCCAAAGGGCAGAATTCAAAAGGCAAAAACAAGCTGACATTCTCTGGTGGGTCTGTAGACTCAGAGCCAAGCAGTTGCTGAGCAAAAATGTCACCAGTACCTCCTATGACAAAAGACGAGGCACTGGCCAGGGGACTGGGGCAGGGCTCCAGGCTTCCACTGCTCACTCACCAGCCTGTCCAGGGGGAGAAGGTAGTCGCTGCTTACGTTGCACTGATGCACCTACCTTGACTAATGCCTGGGGCTTCAGCAGGAGGTGACATGAGAGGTGAACAGAGCCAGCCTCGGTGTAGCACAGTGCTGGCAGCTATTCCCTCAGCAGTGCCCAGGCTCATAAACATGCCAGCTCATCTCCAAGAAGCAGAACAGGAGTGCGGGCATGTAGATCACAGGGACCTGTGCGGACAAGTACAGATCATGGCCACGACATGCCTTGCCCCTTCCTTAAGCCATAGAGGGATGTCCGGGAGGAACAGAAAATTCATCCAGAGCACGCTAGGTGGGCTCTCGCAGGTGGAACTTGGGTACCCTGTGCCTCTCACACACAGGGCTTGTCTGGACATTCTTTTTATCAATTCTCTAGCATCTACTCCTCCAATTTACCAACAACCAGAAAGTAGGATCTGATCTTAGGTAAGTTCAATAATCACAGAGCACCACCTCCACAGCGGGCCAGGCAGCACGTGCCAGGTCCTCCGACCGTCACCTGTGGGACCGCCATGAGCGCTCTTCAGACTCAAGGCCTGAGGCCGTAGGCCGGGGGGAAACAGCTTCCCTCACTCTCCACAGCAAAGGGGGACCAACTGTCGGCAAAGGCATCTCACCCTCTTCTTCCCGAGGAAAATCATGATAGACACACGGGGAAACAGAGCAGAACGTGGGGGTTAGGCAGCCCAGAAGAGCTCCTCTGTATTTCCGAGGCAAAGTGGGGCCGTTGACTTAATCACAGGGACAAAGTGAGGATGAATTATTTCCCTGCTCTGTCCCATACTTCATGATATGCCCTTTCCCTGGCAT